TGCCCTCGTTAGGCATCTCATCTAAAGTTCTTTGTGGTTATAAGCTTTTAATTTTTCATTCCTTTTTCATAATATGAGATTTATAATATTTTTATATGAATGAATATTCTTTGGATAGTATCGTATTTTTTTTTCTAGAAGAGTGATAAGTAGGGATCCATAAAATGAGGGATAAGTATTCATCGAATGTCTCATATTTCTCTTCTAGTATGGAGGCGATTATGGATTGGAGACATATCCACTCCAAAATTCTCACTTTAATATGTGTGAATGATATCCCCTTTGATGACCTCATACAAGTTCCAATCCACATATCCAAATTCTATTATAATCTAATAAAAATAAAATATGTGCAAGATAAATCCTGTGCTTTACTTCCCATCACCTATTACGAACAAAAAAATCTAGATACCTTTGCTTAAAATTCACGAGTAACACAAATAGAACCTTACGAGTAACGTCAACTTCCTTAATTAATCTTATATTATTGCTTTGAATTTATTTGAATACTCGATCAAAGTCCCGATCTTACTTAATCTCCAAGTTGTATAATTTTACATCAGAAACAACTTATTATTATTTTAGTCAAATAAAACTTATTCGACTCACCCAATTCATCATTGGTAGTAATAATGTGGACCATTATGTCAAGACACATTATGCCTAGCTTCAAAGATTCCTACACTCATCTCTTCATTGCTTTTGCTAAGTCTCACTATAAATTATTTATTTCATTGTTTTTTTTAGAATAAGACTTACGGAAACATTCTTTAAACCTTTAATCATTTCAGATTTTTAAACTTTACTATGATTTTATATGAAATATCAATGTTATAGATGGCATACTTTGGTCACAAAATGAAAATAATTAAAGTACATATAAGATTTATGTGATTCCAAACACTTTTATCAATTCCTATTAAGATAATTAGATTCTTCATTATGTTAGAATAATCACAAAACCGGAACCATAACCTTTGGCATGATTCGAAACACTGTTAATGTCCATGGCGAGGTAATTATATTTTTTATTATGTTGAATAATCAACATTCTCGCTCACAAACTTGAAGATGTTTAATCTTTCGAGATCTACTAAAAAATACAAAAAGTATTTTTTTTTTTTTTTTGTGCATAGGACATGTCAAAAGTCTTACCAAATTAATGTAGCTTTTGGTTGGTTAATCAACCAAACTTATCCACCAAATTTTCCAGCAGATAAAGTTCATAAAAAAATTTCAGGAATAGATGTGAATGCTAATCCAATTTAAATACTTATTGGATTATAGGTGTTACAATTTTTTTTGGCCATGTGTTTTACTTTTAGGTATCTTAGTTTTATCTCTACTTGATCTTCATCTTATCCTTAGTTTCATAAACAAAAAGATAAAGAAGTTAGCATTTCAGATGACTGAACTACTTACCAACCTACGACACACACCCAAAGATGATGGAAATCCAAAGGGAGGATAAGAAGATTCGATAAGGTTGACCTTATCCTCATGTTGACTTCACACAACGCAAATCTAACAGGTCAAGCAACAACATGTCGGCAGACAGGCACAGAAATCGTCGGTGTCAAAGCCTTAATGGAGTTTTGACTGCGCCATGGCCGATTGGATGTCAGTTCAGCGTCTCCAATCTCCACCACATTAACACGAGCTTTCTGGGGATAAGATTACTACTGCAAGTGCTGGCGAATAGAATGCAAGTGAGCTGTTTGGGTGGCGAAGAGGGATGAGGGCTCGATATGATTCGATAGAATATAAATGTTAGAAGATGTGAATTGATTATTATTATTATTATTATTAGTATGAGTAAATAGAGAAGATTATTTTAAATAATAATAATAATTTAAATATTTTTAACTTAACTAAATATATGATTGTTTATATATCTGAACGAGGATAAATGAGTCCTTAAATAGTTAAGACTTTATGATTTTATTTATATTATTGTATCTTTCGTTTATATTTATAGAAAAAATCTAAATTCTTCTAAATTAAATATGAAAAATAAAACCCAAGTCTTATACTCCTATTATAATAAATCTCGATTTACTAGAATTTTTCTTCTCGATCTATGTAAATATACTTTAAGTGACTCTTCGGTATCATGTACTTTAAGACCCTAAAGTATATAGGATATTTATAGAGTAATAAATCAATGTTTTTTCTCTTTAAGAAGATTTTTTTATCTTCAAAGTAGTTTATTCTTTGAGCAATCTATTTTCGATTAAAAAACCCAAAAAAATTTGTCAACTCTAAAGATTATAATAATAAGCGTTCGATTAGTTTCGAGTTGGGTATGGATTAAGCTTCAATAAGAATGCGAGCCGCAATCAGATTTTGAGAAATAAGAATGCGAGCGGCAATCAGATTTTGAGAAGTTATATTTTGGGGTTTAGTCATGTATTAGAACTCAGATTGTGAATTGTGAATTGTGAATCATTATATTGTACCAATTATTCATCAATCACAAAACCAATTGCTTAGTTGATTAGGGCATCATTATATGCTTCAACCAAGATGATTTAGTTGAAGAACATAACCTGTAGAATTATGTTGTAGCAAATGTTCAATTCTGCATGGGAAAGAAAGGAACATGACAGGATGTGTTTGGGGATCACAAGATTTACCCTTTGTGTTGTTTGCAGTAAGATTTGTCATAGAATTGTCAATGCAATTGACCTTATTCTATGGCTTGACCAGCTCTTGTTAGTGTTTCTATGATGACCTGATGGGTTAACTAATCTATCAACTTCGTTTGGTCTAAATCATCGATCAAAATACTTAAGCTGAAGTTGATAATAATACACTCATCATACTCTTATAAGTCAATCTTAATCTTTGTCTATTTTCGATGTAAAACTAATCAAGGGTGTTATAGTTTCTCTTCCCACTTAGTACATCTCATGCTTTATGAAATGATCATAGGAAAAATAAGGGATTTATTTTGATTATAATATCTCTGTAACTCAATGATGATAAAAAAAAAAATCATATACTCAATCCAAATAATTGAGATATTATGGTTGTATTATTGTTGTAAACTAGATAAATGGAGAGAAGGGTATTGGCATATGAAGGTAGATGCATTTGGAACACTATGTAATATTATTAGGTAGATACTTGGTGAATACTTGATATATAATTCAATATAATGAAAAAATAAATTTAAAAATGATATCCAAAGAATAGAGGGAAAGAGATTGAGATTTAAAATATATTAATATTAGGAGAGGAGACTTGGAATGTTATAAATTGATGTGCTTCTTAGATTAAAATATATAATTAAATCAAAGAGAATTCAAAGGAAATTTATATGAAATTATTAAGGAATGCAAAAAGAACTAATCTGAGGCTCAAGAAACAATTGTTGCATCCGAATTCTAGACCTCGAATCGAACACCCAATGATATATATGTTTCTTTATTTTTTTCTATAAACATAAATGGTGAAGATGGATTTTGATCTCTTTCGAGATTTTTATTTATTGACAACCCGTTCTTTGTTATTTATAATCTTATTTTTAAAATATTTAATATTTTAAAAATATTCCTGACATAAATATTATTTTTTCTCGCTTTTTTTTTATTTTTTTCTTTCAGTGATGAATATCATTATCCACCTATATCGAATCGAATCATCGAGCGATGTCCATCAAATGATGTTGGATGACAAAAGGTGAAGAAGGAGGAGGAAGGAAGTGGGTAGAGCTCGAGGAGGTGGAGGGAAAATAAAATGAGCGAGGAGGCTACGAGAAAAATGAAGATAAAATTAGTAATAATAAATAATACAATTATATTTTAGCATTTTTATGATTATCAATAGCAAAAGGAGATTACAATAAAAAAGCTTCACTATCAATAGAAATAGAAAGCTTTCTAAGATATTTATTTTTCTTCATTTATATCAGGAGGGATAAAATTGGGCTTTTAAATTATTTTTACTAAATTTACGATCTAACCAGTTGTGCGAGATAAGCACGCGAATCGAACCGAACCAAAGCGAACCGAACCAGTCAATTTCGGTCAACATAAATTAAGCGGTTTCGTCTTGCTTTTGTCCGCTTTCTAGGGTTAGGGTTTCGGCAGCCATGGCGACGGAGCAGCAGAAGCAGGGAGGAGCAGGAGGCGCGAAGAGGAAGCCGGTGTTCACGAAGGTGGATCAGCTGAAGCCCGGAACCAGCGGCCACACCCTCACGGCCAAGGTGCTCACCTCCGAGACCGTCCTTCACAAGGGCCGCACCGGTGCCGCCGCCGTCCACCTCCACCCGACCACGATCGCAGAGTGCCTCATTGGCGACGAGACGGGCACCATTCTCTTCACCGCCCGCAACGAACAGGGTTCGGTACCCTCCCTATCTATCTTTTGTTCGTCGGCAAATGCTATTTTGATCGAAGCGAGCGATTGCTCTTTTACATGCATCTATACTCTCTTAATTGAAGTTGGACTTGATGGTTAGCTGTTCGTTTAAATGCTCTTCTTGGGTTTCTGATCCTTCTTGAGATAGTGACCATAGAAAAAAGTTAATCTTGAACCATCATAAGTTTGGAAGCATAGTGAGAAAGATGCTCTTTGAAGCAGTACATGTGATTAGGAGTATTCAAATCGAACCGGAAAATCATTATTTATTAATGATTCGAGTTTGAAGACTATATATGGTTCCAATTTGGAAGGATACTGAATCTAACTTAAGAACCCTAAAAGCTCTTTTCAATTTGGAAGGATTTGGTTAACCGGTTCGGACTGAATCTAACTTAACCCAACAAACCTAAGAACCCTAAAAGCTCTTTTCAAACTTTGACGAGTTCATCTCTCTTCCTTCGTTTCTATGGCTCTTCATCGTCGTCCCCTTCTTGTCCTTGCTCTCTTGTGAACCATATATTTTTGTCATCATTTTTTTTGTTGATAATCCCTTTGTTGATTTGTATATATCAATGCATATCTTCATCATTAAAAAAAAAAAAAAGTATGAAGTCGTTATTCCTCTAGAGTTTTTTCAATAAAAAAATAAAAAATCACTTGTGCATAGGTCCAGTTGTTTAAAATATTTAGAATGATATTTGTGATATAAACATTTTGAGAATGTAGGTCCAATTGAATCAAAATTCTTGTTCGATTCAATTAAACTGAATCGGTTCACCGAATTGAACCAATTCATTTGATATTACTTAAAATTGAAAATCAGTTAACCGAATCAGATTAATCGGTTCGAACCAATTTGATTTGGAGTACATTGCTTTAACCAAACTAAATCATTTTTTACAGTTTGGTTTGGTTCGACCCTTAATGGTTTAGTTCGAACCTTTTTGAACAACCCTATATGTGATCTTCCCCCACACATTCAAGGTATTGACAGTGGGAAACTTCTCTATTGAATTTTTCTTAGGGTTTCTTATTAGAAGAGAAAAAAAAGACAATTTTTTCTTTGGTAGCAGTGACTTATGCAAAGATAAGGATGAGAGTACAATTGCAAGTTGTAAGGTTTGGGAAAGTAGGCGATTAAAATACATTCTAGTTCAAACATTGAAGGATGGAGTTATTTTCCCACATCTTTGGTGAACCGTCCAAAATAAAATAACAAGAAAAGGTGCAAGGTCAAATTCAGCCTCACCAATTCCCAGGAAATTAACACCTGCAGAGTTTATTCCTCCAATCAGTATCTATATTTGTCTTCTACTCTTTGAGGATTGTTTCAGCTTTTCAAATAATTTATGAGCAGCAGAAACGTTTATCCTTATTAAAAATTTTGGGGCCTTTCATTGTACTTTATTTGGATGACATGTCTTAGAGTTCCAGCTTGACCTTGATGTATCAATAACTTGATGTTTTTTACTAATAATTTCTCGTGCTTAAACATTAAATCGTTGTTTTCTTATGATAACCATCCTCTACAAAACCCATTTTTACACATCAAAAGATATGTATAGCTTGTGCAAGGAGATGAGTGTTTCCTAGTGAACTGCTTTTCTTTTCATTGTCTTTTCCATCTAAAAGTGCACAAGAGTTGATAAGGCCATAATTCTGGATTTCTACATCATACTGTTACTTTGTGTCAGAATGCTGAATGTTCCCCTTTGCTTCTTGTCCTTTTTCCTTTTTTAACTTTTTAACATTAATGTTAAAAGTATTTAGTGTTCTTGAAACAAAGTGCATCTGGAAAAGACCTCTGTATACAAGTATGTTGGTGTGTTTAGGCATGTGCTCATGCATGCAAATGCTTACATGGTTCCTTCATAGGCAGTAGATCTACACACAAAGAAGCCACAGTTGTCTCATGTCTTCTAAGTGCTGTAGCACCACCCTGCAGTGGATGATGGTGCACCTGCTTCATCTTTCATACCTATATGTTTTGCACAAGATCCTCAAATTATTAATTTAATTTTTGTCACATATAGGCATATATAGCATTTTGAGCCATGGATTGTTGTCAGAATTATTTCTTAGGATTTACGTTTGTTCCCATATGTTGAAAAGGCATTTGACAGTGCTGATCTTTCAGAAGGTCCAGAAATATGGCTGTAGTGAAAAATCAGTGAGGTCGGAGTAGTATGATGTTTGAAATGAACAGTATTTATCTACTGGATTCAGATATCCTTGATTTCAAGACGCTCTAATTTGTCTTGGACAGACATTATGATGATGTTTGCATTTATGGTTGCTCTGTTATTCTGAACATACTTATGTTTCCTGTAGCTTACGAAAACTATGTCAGAACAGTTATTCATCATTCTTTTGCTGCCTTTAGGTAAAGTGTTCCATTGTAATTATTGTTTTCTTATTTCTGCAAAAAAAAAAGAGAAAAACCTAAATATGAAAATTCAATCTGCCCTTTCACTTGGCATTGGACAACCAATTATGCTGTTTGCGTTACAAAACTTGCTCTCTCAGTATTGATGAATGATTATATTCTTTGACAGTTGATTTGATGAAACCGGGCACCACAGTCACCCTCCGCAATGCAAAGATTGATATGTTCAAGGGGTCAATGAGACTGGCCGTCGACAAGTGGGGGCGCATCGAGGTCACCGGGCCTGCTAATTTCACGGTAAAAGAGGACAACAACTTATCCCTCATCGAGTACGAGCTGGTGAATGTGGCGGACGAGTGACGGGTGCACCCCTAGCAGATGGTCGGTCACATTTGACCGACCGGAGTCACCGGTTCTACGTCGTCATCCGGTGATAGATTTGAGTGTGCAGGGAGGAGGGTATGGAGGCAAGTAGTTTGAGGGAGGTAGTCAGGCCATGTAAACCTTGTAATCTGTCAGGGCTAAGCTTTAAGATTTTCGCTGGATATTATTGTCTGAGGCACAGATTTCGAACTCAGAAAAGTGATTGACACTTTCACATCTTATATACAGATACTTCAAATTAATTTCTTGTGTTGGAGCTGGAAATGGACAGAGCCATCCAGTCAATATTTTGTGGTCTCATTATGTCATTTTTTTATTTTTTATTATTATTATTTTTGACTTGTTGATGCAGCAGTGCATTGCCAACACTAGGAGTGGATGCAATTGCGCATCAGGTGGTCAAGAACTTTTAGGAGTTCTTCTCAGAGATGCAACAACAATTAATTAAAAAAAATCCTTTGTTTATACTATTTCTAAATGCAAATATACCTCTCAGAAAGAACTAACTTGTAAAAGAAAAAATAAAAAGATTGAGATGCCGCCACAGGAAGCCAGAGACCCGACCGTTGGCGCACCGCAACAATGACATTGAAATAGAAGAAAAATGAAATTGAAATAGAAGAAAAATAAGATGAAAAAAGGAAGAAAAGAAATGAATGTAGATCTTTCAGAACTCTGGGGATGATTATTGTAGATCTTTCGTCACATATAATTGAGAGAAATGAATGTTCTGATCACTGCTACATAATTCCCTTGTTTGCTTAGTTTTTATACCAAACAGAACAAACATAACAACGTCCAGTCTTGTATCTCTGCATGTAGAATGCAAGGACTAGGAAGACATCTATGATGCACAACAAGAGCAGCAGGATATTCAATTCTATGAAGACGAGACGATAATTTTCTAGAAAAACAGACGATCAATGTCTCCGTTTGGCTATCTGAGAATCTAGAATAATATGCAACTTGCTTCTTTTCTATTATCGGAAAAAGATTAAACGTAATTACTCATCAAAATTATTCTGAACATCAAACTCACGAACCAAGTCTCTCAATCGCCGTCGCTGCTGCTCTGAGGCAGAGAATGGAAGACATGGACGTCATCAGCATCTTTTGTGAAGCCTATTCGCGACGGAGGATTTGCTAATAGCATCTTATCCTACATTGAAACAAGAACAGAATTGCAAAAAAGTTGGATCATCCGCCATGCTACACAAACGATATCCTTACAACTCTCTTGACTGAAACTCACAAACCACAAAAAATATCCTGTAGATGTTTGCAGAGTTGATAATTACCAGGGAGCAAATGGAGGATATCCAGTATAACTTGCATCAAGAGATACTCTGAAACATGCAGAACAAGTAGCAGTTTAGGCGCCATAGAAAGTAAATCCGATGGATGTTGACCCATGCAAGGAAGATGTAGAATGTTGCATCAGGGCAACAAAAGCAGTTTAATTTTCAGGCGAAACTTGTCTTAAAAAGTCTAGATAGATCCTTTGAGTCGTTACATCCTTTGAGTTGGAATTATCACCACAATATGGGTCCACAAGCTCAAAGCGTGTATGTCAGTCGAGAATTCATGTCAACTCTTCATGTTTTTGTTGATATAGAATAAGCAATAAAAATAAGTGCGTTATTGAATATTCAAGAACAGAGACATTTAATACATGCAAATTCAACCAGAAACTTTAATGAGTAATTGGAACAACACTAGTATGGACAATTGCAAAACTGAACATTATTGACCAAGTTAAGGCTCTTTAAGACACCTCCAACTGAAACTTTCCTCCATCGTCGGTGGGATATTGGTAAATATGATACCCACACAGGTTATGATTAGTACCCAGAGAAACCTCTTTCAGATTCTTCCAAGCCTAAAACCAAAAATTTAAATACCCATCCTGTACTAGTTTTCATACACCATCAGGACAGTACCATACCAGTGCATTGGGTGGTACACAGACATGTATCACCCGATAACACTGGAAAAAAGATGCCTTCATATATTCTGATCGGACCAACAGATGCCATATACCATTACTGGATCCTAGTCGGACCAATAAATACAAGCCAATACAATTTTGTAACAGACCAGTACGTAGTTTAAACCATGCCTAGACCAACTAAAATATACATTATCTTTGACACACTCGAAGTTTTATGCTAGCATTTAAAGCTCCACCAATGCTTCAACACAATAATTGGTTTATGAAGACAATAGCTATCTAGATCAACTCATACCATAGTTTGCACGAAATTTCTGGACAACAATAGTATATGAATGTGAATTTATAGTTTATACCACAGACTGCATAATAGCTTTCTGTCCATATGTGATGCATGACATCATATAGCATAAAACTTGCTTCCCTAATGTTGTTATTCCAGTTACATTTACCTCAAAATTAATGACAGCATTGTGTCTGCTTTTAGTCTGATACAAGACAAATCAACTTAAGGGCAAAAAATATACCCCTCAATTATGTTTCATCTGTATCAACATGGAATACCTGAGTCCATTCTCTATTTTCCCAGTGGCTAACTATAGCCTATTTGCTTGTACTAGATCATTCCAACTGATTTTCATGTTAACATGAACCACTATGCTAATTAGTGTCATGTTCTGTGGATCCTATACTAGAACATAGAATTTTTCAGATACCACTATTTGGTTGTTATTTTTCAATCCTTCCTTGGTCATAAAGCCAAAGACTTACGCTAGAGACCAATGTGTCTTTAATTCATGGACCATAGGTTAATTACAATACCCCAATTTCAAATGTCAGCTAAGAATTGTGATCAATGGCTCCTAAGGAGATGATAAATTAGGACAACTGTAGAAAGGAATCAGGTAACTAAATCTCCACAAATCAAAAATAGGATAAAAACCTCAATAATCTTTATAAATTAGGATAAAAACAACATCATGTTGTTATGAAACTTTTAATAACATCAATTTGGGTTTGAATCATCTTTTAAAAATAACGAATATGATACCAATATCATATTTATTTTAAAAAAATAAAGTCATGTCATTCGTGAAGAACCAGCAACAAAGGAAACAAACCAATGAGCTCCAGTAATATTTGGAATCTGTAAGGACATGTGGAAATGAAAAATGTTGGCGTTTGGCTAACTAACAAGAATCATAATAAAATTCATTAACGTTCAAGCCTTGAAATAATAAAAATTACATGTTTTTTAACAAACAAGATGAATGTGAGGCACATGTATTGAAGTCAAATTTAGACTCTCTCTTTTTTTCCAAGATAGAATAATGGTAAATAGTTACAATCATTACTACTACTTAATTCAAGATAGTAGGGCCTTCTTTTTACTTGGAAAGCCCAATTGCCCTCCCCATAACTTGATCTTGAAAATTACAATGAGATGGAAAGAGTTACAGTATATTTTAAATCTCTAATAATTTAAATCCCAAAGGCTTATTGACAGGCAAGGTACATGCAACACAGATTTTAAAGAAAGGGTATCCGTGCAACTGTCTTAGCTACTTTAATTTTTCAATTAAAGTACCATCCAGCTACTTTAATTTTTTGATTTCCAAAACATTAGCTATAAGATATAAAATGGTTAGATGAGTTAGTCATATGGTTAGTGGCTACTAAATCAATCACCCAAGATCCACACCAATAATCTTTCAAGGCATTTAGAATATGAGATGTATAATATTTACCTGAAAACTCTAAAGCTTCTTAATCTGTTGTTTATTTAGTCCCCCAATCTCAGAGTTATTAGAAACCAAGCTTCCATACATAGAAGTATCTTCAGAGTCTCAGACTCAGCGTAGTTTGCTTGACATTGTTGTCCATATTCCGTACTGCTGTTGAATTCCTTCTTATTGTTTTTTTGTGTAACTTCTGACATGTCTCTTTGTTATGTCTCAATTTCTTACAGTAAGCATACCAAAGGCCACTTTGTTGTTTGGTGTTATAGATGTCTCTCCTTTCTCAGGAACCATGTTAGAGCTCAAACCACTTAAGATCTCAAATGGCTCTTGATTGTAGCAACTGCAGACCTTTCAGTTGTTGGATTGTTTAGCAATTAGTATTATATATACCTTTTTCCTTGCTCCAGCTCTAATGATAGAGAAGGCTCTAACTAGGGAAAACAGGTCTTTCACAAGTACTACTAAAATATGCACATAGATTATATTCTATGTTGAATCCAACCAAGAATTCAGAAAACCTCTTTCAAGCTTCAACAATCATTGGTAGTATAGTAGCATCTTTGCTACAGTTCATCTTTAACATTTTGATAATAATTGAATTCAAGCTGAAAACAGGTCTTTCCCAAGTACTTAAATATGCACGTAGATTATATTCTATGTTAAATCCAACCAAGAATTTGGAAAACCTCTTTTAAGTTTCAACAATCATTAGTAATATAGCAGCATCTTTGCTACAGTTCATCTTAACATTTTGTAATAATTGAATTCAATCCATGATCCTTTCACACCATTATAGTACTGAAATGCAGATAAAGTATATTACTTTGTGGCATGAAAGTTGCCCTCGCCTCCCCTCCCCTCCCCTCTTCCTCTACCTTCCTCGCCGACCTCGCCCGTAGCCCCCTCCACCAAGGTTGATGATAGGGACGATGGAGACGATGACCGGAGGGCAGGGGGCTCACATGCCCTCGCCTGCAGCCCCTCTGCCAAGGTGACAGCGAGGATGACAGTAGCGGGGCAGGGACGACAGGAGGTGGGGGTGGGAATAATGGGGCGAAGATGGGGCAGTGGGGCGGACGCATAGGTGGCCAAGGGCCTAGGTGGAGGCATAGGCATAGATGACCAGGGGCGAAGGTGGTGATCGATAATGTGAAGGCAAAGGCAAAATCATCTTTTAGGAAAAAAAGGGCATTCTATGAGAATTTTTGAAAAAGGGAGCACTATCTGGGAATTTCTCCAAATAAGGGGTTTTTTCGAGAAATTACCCTATGAAGTTCACTAGTGAACAGTTGATGCATGGTTTCTTTAAAGGTTGAATCAGAAGTGGTTTGGGTTGAATAGGACATGAGAAAGAAAGATTTTTGGGGTAATGAAGAAACAATCAAAAGCTTTTGGCCATCTATGAGATAGGCATTGATACCATGTAGAAAGAAACTCTTCTTCACTCATTTGACTATAAGAAGGTTACAAAATTTATAGAGCACATTTGCATAAATGGGGACACTAACTCATACAATTTCAGGAGACTAATCTCGTCAAAATCGAAAAAGTTATTCCCACAATAAGGATACTAAAAAAAGAAAAATCATAAAAAAACATTATAAATTAGGAATATGTTTACAAGGAAATAAACAAAATAGAAAGTATTTTAAAATCAGTCAACAACATCCAATAACTCACTTAAAATCTAAGAGTTACGTATGAGCTTCTTAGAAGTTATAAAGAAGCACAATTGAAGTACTGAACTGTATGACTTGCATGACTTAACTCATATTAAAGTCTCGCTATTTTGCTAATAGTGGATCTTGCTGTCATAGTCTATGATCTAAGTGGTCAGGTTCAAGTTGCAAAACCAACCTCTTTGCTTGCAGGCAAGAGCTATGTACATTGACCATTCCCAAATCCCATGTCCAAGGGAACCTTGTGCACTTTGACACCCCATTAAGCTAGTCATCTCAACCTAAATGAGACACCTGAACTTGGAATTTTCATGATATGAAGCTAGAAACTACCCCTACATGAAATCAGAACCACAAGATCAGGGCTATATGAAGTCTCTGTAAGTTTCAAAGACTTGCTGGCATCTAAAGATTAACCAACCAGCAGAAGCCCCCCCCTTGCGAAGCCATGAATATGGAAATTGCAATATTGAACATCCTCAAAGCACTTAATTTCATATTCAACAGCATCCTATGGAAATTGAGGAAGCCACAAAAGACCAGAAAAAAAAGGAAAACATATATTTAATAACTCATTTGAACATAATCACTTGAAAAATGCAGCTAATGACCGCAATAAACCACAAATAAAAGAATCACATGTAATAATACTCCAGAATAGGCCAAGCAAGCATTCACTGGCAATAGAAGTGTCATAAACAGCCAAAATGGATTTTTGTTCTTTACGAAAGATATCTAATGCAGCAAGTAAATTGTGAAATATAACTAGCATTGCAACCTCATATAAGTGTTTTTTCATCATATTATTAATCTCCAAGCCTTATTTTCATATGTGACCACCTGCTGAAGTCTAAACCAAGAAAGCTCTATCGGAGATCCCAGTAGAATTCTATAGCCTGCTGCTAACCCATGTTAAACCTTTTAACAAATTATAATAAATATGGAAAAATGCATTATGAAAGTCTTTTTCGTAAACATAAAAGGACAGAAGCTGGATAGAAGCATTTAAACTCAGAAACCTGGGAATTCATGCCATAAGAGAAATGACAAGCATGACATAATCAGTGCAATCATCTCCTCTTAGTAGAGTGCAAGGAACAAAGTAGCTAGTGTTTTAAGCATACCTGCAGTTCATGACCTGGTCTAGTTGCAATGTTGTATAATCTGGTGTTCCACAAAATTTCTGCAGAACAGTAAGCATTTTACTGTCGTCCAGCATGGACATAAATGATTATAGCAAGCATTATGGAAGTGTCTATGTTTGTATTATGTTGATGAGCAGGTTGCGAGCAATCGAAAAAGTTCGTCATATTCTTGGATCTCCACCTCATAATCCAATTTTTGAAAAAGATAGTGTTTGAAAGATCTCGAAAAAGGATACATCGCTATCCATACCTAAATGTTTTCAAAGAATTAATTCCATATAAAAAATAACAAACCACGATGTTCCTGTAAACGGTCAAGCAGGATTTGAATGGAGAAAATTTGTGCATCTGTGCAGTTACATTGATGCAGGAGAAACAGAGAATTGATTTCAATCAACACAACTGCATGATATCAATCCAAATGTTGCTTATTCAGTAAAATCATTTGTACTATGGAAGAAAGGCATAGCTTATCAAATCTACAATGGAGGGCGGCTCCTATTTGGGGATCTGCAGGCATCAATACACCATCTTTAAGAAAAAACTTCAAAACTGGTGCAAGGGAATCACTCTCATAATCAGTTGTCCCAGTCTCATTCTTGTTTCTTAAGTGGTAAACACATTCTGCAGGTACACTTTCGACTTCAGAAGAAGAGCAATGGCCAGGTACCTTCTGAAGTTGTTTATCACTGTGTTTCTCACAGGCACAATGTTCAGACTGCATTCTGACATATTGTTCTCTTCCAAAGCTTTCTTCATTACCATGACTACTTGGAGAACAAAAGCATTGCCTAATTGTTGCTACGATATTCAAGGAACATGAAGCAAGAATATCATGAATATCATCAATCCTTGAACAATGACCACAAGACCTCCAGGAATCAGAGAGAATCCCGCGAACCAACACAAACAAAGTTTGCAGGCAGCGGCAACAACAGCAGTAAAGACATGAAATACCAGAAACAGTTGAAAGACTGCTACTACTTCCATGTGCGAAGTTAGTTGCTGTAGCCAGTTCATCAGTAACAAACCCAGCATTGTTCGAAGAAAGAACATTTACCGAATCATTGCAAGGATTTGAAAATCTTGTGGAGTAAGAGGTTGTATCCTTCACTACGCTGTCATCATTATAGATATTAGTCACTGAAGGAAGATTGCTTTCTGTCTTTTCCAAGCCACTAGATTGATCCTTGGTTTCTGGACTTTTCACAATTGGACTCTCAAATCTGCTCATTCCGTTTCCACTTGGTAGTGCACCTGCAGCTTCAGAACTTTGATATAATCCAGATGGACAAGGAGCAGATGGGAAAAGCTCACCTTTTTCTAAGACACAAACATCAGAAGTAGACACTGACTGAGATGCCAGTCCTTGGATCAAATTATTGTCTTCACCATCATTCACAAATTCATCAGGATTTCCTCTGGCTAACATGTCTTGAAGTTCATTGCAGCCCTTTTCAGGAACAATTGGCACACTTGATCTATTTCCAAGAATGTAGTTTTCATTAAGGCCAATATCCATTGCTGCATCCCCTAAAATTGTTGGCTTAGCATTTGGTGCTGTTCTATGACTCTCCGCTGGTAAACTGTAAGAGAAGAGAAAATAAAAGAGGAGGAAAAAGAACAGAGAAATGAAGCTCATCCTACAGATGAAACCCAAAACTCAAACTGCTTAACAGTTTTATAATACAGAAGCTCAAGAGAAAGAGAAGATAGAAGTTTTATTACAGTTTTATAATTAAATAACAAACTCAAGGGAAGATAGAACTTCTGGAGGTAGCCAAGTACAGCTTAAAGTATTAATAACTAAGGAAGCAAGTTCTCTGGTACCCAATAGTAGAATTAAGAAAAATATATCACAAGAATCTGGATACGAAACATAGTTATGAAACCATATAATAGAAACAGATACAACTTTAGGGCCAGATCAAATATGACAGCATGAAGATACCACAGTTATTTCAATATCTTAAGCTTGGAGATTATCAACTCAGTATCTTATATTATACAGAATAACTAAGAGATAGATGAAGACAATAAGGAATCCCCCAAATGAGTGTACCAGTGCATACCACCTAATACATGCTCTGGCCCCTGATTCAGCATAGAATGACCTTCTATAATAATGATTACCAAAATGAAGACAGATAGTTGGGACAGGCATGAAATTGGCATCCAATTACAAGGGTACTGAAGATTAAATAGAATGCTAGACTGGAGACCTCAGTGACAAAAAAATTACCTGCGGAAAGTGTAAGCCCAACTATTAACAACATCCTCAAGGTAAGCCACCTGTGAGAGAATACGAAGGTAACGGAATGTGTCTTTCCTGCCTGAAATCCTAGCACGAATCTGTCCAACTAAGAGCTCTAAAACCTTTCTAACCTCAAATGACACTTCTCTGACTGATGTGTAAATACCACGGTAAGCCAATAAGCCTACTGCTATTAAGCCTCTTACTGTACCAGAGAGTTCCCTATCTTTAGGATTGCTATTTACTCCAGTAACTACTTTTTCAGGTGAGCTGCAAGTATTCATCACACAAGAATTAAATGGCCAACGCTTCCAAGGACCATTTACATCTGCACAAGGTCCTTCTTTCAGTTTTGAGGTTACCCAACAAAGCTCTGCAAAATGAGGGCATCGTAAAATTTGGTAGCCAAATGTTGCAATTGACAACACGGAACCACCCTTCACACCTTTATGAAGAGTTTTTGGAATCGAATCTTGATGACTATGGTGCTGATTGCCAATTTCGTCATGACCTCTTAAAGTAGATGGCAGGGGCCACACCTGATCGCCAGCTACATGTTGCTGATCTTGATCTCCAACTCCTGAAGCTTTCTGATTAGGATCCATTTGCTTGTTAGTGACTAAAGTTGCTTGTCTCTCACAGTGTGTTTGAGGTTCTGAATGAGCTTCCATGGTTTGAAAGGTTTCATTCACATCATGAGAATTGAACAAATGAGTATGGTGATGAATCAACTGAATATAATGCTGAACCAAATCCTCTGATAATTTTGCAGCACATGAACTAATTAGCAGATCATGGTTAAATTTTCCATCTACATCAACTGAGAATCGTGGTACAGTGTGCTCGAGAGGAATTGAACCAGCATCATCTGGCACATAATTTGTGAAGAATTTCTTTATTCCAACTGGAAGACTATGAATTTGCATTTCACAAGTGGCCTGTTGAATAAAGACCATATATTACAAAAGATGGAGTATAGTTTTTCAAAGGAAAACAAGCACAAAGAGAGACCTATAGCGAATAAAATGGTTAGCCACACTTTTGCATCTTAAACCATCTTCACGAAACAAGCATGGCATTGATGAAAAATATTAATATATCTACTGAGAAGGGACCTTCTTAAACAATTGCAGAAACCATAAACTTCAGAATATGTAAAATGCTATATAAGACAAACGAAAATTGCATCCCAAAAAATTCATCAATTAGATACAAATATGAATTATATTGAAGTCATTAACAATTATTTCTCCTTTTAAGAACCAAGATGAGATGTACAACTTACATCAACTAGTGACTAAGCAGAGGCTATCCAGCCTAGCTACTGATTAATATGATCCAAAATACACATTGTCATTCAGAATACACTAAAGAATTTCATATAAGACAAAGATCTTATCTGTCACTGACTTTATCATGTTGAGAAATAAAACGAAGTCAGCATTTGTAATTGGCAAGTAGAAAATAAAAAGCCTTAAACAGCAGCAGTCTACCATAAGTTCACATTATAAATGAGTTTTAAAAAGTTAGTGCTTATATTTCAGATATATAAAGAAAAGATCACAAGCAATAATGGAACAATTATTCTGATGAATAAAGAGAACCATGGGTCTGAAGCCCATCAAAAATAGATACTATAAAGAACCTCGAAGAGAAAAAACATTAAGTTGCTTGAATGTAGGAAGATTTATTACCTTTATAGAAACAGAGAGACAACAAATAGGTTTTTTTAAGAAAATAAGCTAAGATACAAAAGCCTTGAAAGGCTCTAAAATTTGAACAACTAAAGAAAAACAATTCAGACTAAGTAAGCAACTTACACCATATCTCAATCTTACCATAATGATTAAAGATGCAGGTGCTGTCACAGAATCCACCTGCTCAACAAAAAGATTCCAAGCTTCTGAAGCAATTCTTATCACGTCATTTACCACAGACACGGCGGATAATTTGCAGGTCTCTGGGCCAGAATCATTATACTCGGGCTCCTTCCTGAGAGTTTCAATTGCCCACAGATCAATCCTAGGCATATAGATCATGCATCTTCCTCTCTTCATGCATTTCACTGTTCAAGAATATATGTCAGTTAATTGGCATTCAAAAATTGGTTGGCGAGAAATCACAAGATCAGTAGATAAATACAACACACGCACTACAACAACAAAAACAAAACCATAAGTCCCACCTATTGGGTTGGCTACATGGATCTTTTACCGCCATTGAGATCTATAAAAAATCATATGTTTAGAGTACTTAGATCTTTATTTATAGCTTAGAGTACTTATATCTTTTGTCGTCATTAAGTTTAGAGTACTTAGATCTTTATTTATAGTTTCTATTATAGTTTTTTATATCTTCCTCTATCTCTCCTTATACCATCAATATTAATCATTTCATCTCTTCTAACTATCACATCCGAAGGACTTCTAAGCACATGCCCATACTATTTTAAATAATTTTCTCTCATCTTATCCTCCATTGAAGCGATACCTAGTTGTTCACGAATAAAAATATATTGTCTCATCTTTCCTATTAAACTCCACACATCCATCTCAGCATTCTCATCTCGGCAGCACAAACTTTTTATATATGTTGTTTTTTAACTGTCCAACACTCTGATCCATAAAACATTATTGGTCTCACAACTATCTTATTGGTCAATCCAACTTAACTATATTCTTCTGTCTATTCCTAAAATTACTAAAATTATATATCATATATTTAGTTTTAATCCTACTTAATCTAAAACATTTAGTTTCTAAGAATTAACTCCACAACTCAAGTTTATAATAAATTCCACTTAGGCTCTCATCAACTAAGACAATATCATCAAATACAACACACACACTATCAATAGAAAAAGAAAGACATGTCAAATGTAATATGGGAGATCATGAGCTGAAAGAGGGCTCCATTACAAAAACAGTGTATATTCAAATTTCAAATGCAAATTATAGTGCACAAAAGCACCAGAGAACATCCACTAAGCAAGAGTTATGTTATAAATTAATTATCTACCAAGATATGGACAGGGTGAACATGGAGGATATGGAATAAAAGGTAAATGATGCTACATAATTGTTAAGACCGGGCCATGGGATTCTAATATGATACTCCAGTGTGGGTATCCCCAATGCAATAAGCAGGTATAGGATATCGCAGCAGGTCCACAAGCATTCCATGTGCAAAAGCATGGTGGTAAAAAATTTAAAAATAACAAATGTGGAAACACCTTTCAACCTGGTGTGGAAGCCAGATCTCCATGAAACAGAAGCAGGTATCAAATGATAGTTAGTAGATTCTTGCTAAAGTTTGGTTAATGTGTTGCATGCAGAACTTAAGCAATTAAAATGCAATTTGAAAAGAACAGATCAACAAAACAAAAGACATTGCTTAACCAAAATAAGCAAGAAGTTCACATGTTATCCTGTTCTGAACGACCTCAGAAATGGATAATGTCCATCCCTATGCCTTTCAAGCTAAGCACCTCTACCAACTTTAATTTTATAACAAAAAAAGAAAATAAAAAACATACAGAGTATCTGTGTCAATCCATGAATGATATCTCCATGTCCTTCCTGTGACATAGTCGCCAAATTAACCTTCTGAATTTCTAAATGGCCTGAGAAGCCATGAAGGAGACAGCTGGCTAGATGTTGCTGGCCAGACCTGGGTGTTCCAGCAATTAAAGCTCGGAACCCTGATGATTGTCCTAATTCAACAAGCTTTATTTTTGACTTACTAGGATCAGAAAATTCAGACAGTTTCGATCTATATGAATCAAACTTTTCAAAGTCAAAATTGACATCATCCAGCATATAAGAATGATCATATCCTGATCTAGCAGTTACAAGGCCATAGTGACAAAGAGTTCTCTCTATCTCATTTGCAACAGATGGTTGGTTAATCAAAGAATCAAAATGAGACCACCAAAAGCCAATGTGAAGTCTTTTCTGTTCAAGTGCTGCAGTAATGACACTCTTAAGAGACTCTGACGCCTTCAGAATTGCAGGAGGTAACCAGAGCCGTTCATCAATGTAAAACGAAATCAGGAGTTTTGACAGTGGCTTGAGAAGACATGGAATGAGATGAGAGTGAAGAGGTGAAGTGACTACATCATTTGCTGCCATTCCTGCTTCTCTACGTGAACACGGGGGAGGAGCAGCTGCAAGAGCTGTCAACCAGTCCCTTTCCTCAACCATAAACAAAGGCAGGGAAGGAAGTTTACCACCACCAAACCCTTTTTCAGCAGAAGATAACAGTGCTTGCAGTGCACAATTCCTCTTCAAGGCATTCATTGCTGCTTGGGTACAAAGTGCCTGCAGATCAGCTCCAGCATAACCAGCGGTTTGGTTTGCAATCCATGAAAGAAGAGGTCCAGATACAGGATTCGACCAACTCTTTGTGTGAAGTGATAAAATAGCAGATCTATCCTTCAGTTTGGGAAGCGGGAAGTATATTTCCCGGTCAAATCTACCTGGTCTCCTCAGAGCAGGATCAACAGCATCCGGACGATTAGTAGCACCTATTACAATCACTGAACCTCGAGATTTTAAACCATCAAGCAAGGAGAGTAAAGTAGATACAACCGAATTATGTGTTTGATCTTGATGCCTAGAGCGGCATGGGGCTAAACCATCAATCTCATCAAAAAAGATTATAGAAGGCTGACATCTCTCTGCTACCTGAAAAAGAAGTCTTAATTGTCTCTCTGCATCACCAACATACTTTCCCAAACAATCAGCACCCTTGCGAGCAAAGTAAGCAATTCTTTTATCCCCACGAGAGCATGCACCAATCAATGCTCTCACAACCAGCGTTTTACCAGTACCAGGGTAACCATGCAATAGAACACCCCTAGGAGGTGTAAGGCCCAAACTATTGAAGATTTCAGGATACAAAAGAGGTAATATCACTACTTCTTTCAAGCAATTGATGACATCTTGCAGACCAGCAACAGACTCCCAGCCTTGAAAATTTTTTTCATTTTCAGAACCCCCAATATATATAGGTGCAATTCTTAAGAGATCTCTATGAAGCCTCTTGCCTTCTCGCTTCAAAAACTCTTCATCTTCTCCGCAGTTCTCTAACCATTTCTCTTCAGCTTCTAAGTCCTTTCTCCATGCATCATGTGAAAGTTTTCTCATTTCTAGCTTTAGCTTCTTAGTTTTCATTTTCTTAACTTGTTGAGCATATTCAGCTCCTTGAGGTTGGAATAGATGCCTATGATCATAGCATGCTATGAGAAACTTGCGATGATCAAATACACAACCATCTGCCCGACTGCAAGGCTGCAAAAAGAAAAAATGACATATAAATAGAAAACTGGAGGAGCATAAATAAAATATAGGGGGGTTGAAGACTAAAAAATTATCCTATATAAAGGGAATGACTGTAACCAGATGATAAGTTTTAGGGCATCGATCAACACGGCAACCAATGGTTGCTCCAGGTCTCCCACAGCGACTGCACTTTAATGCTTTTCCCCTACATAGTGCAGCTCTAACATTTTTCAGGCAGCCCAAGCCAGCAAAATAAACCTGGAATAACAACCATGAATATAGTAAAAATAAGGATGCTATTTATGACAAGATCATCATGAAGATCTACATAGAAGCAAATGAATGAAGCATCTGGAACTACCAGGATATTGGCTCTTCTGGTATTAGGATATATATTCATATAAATATGCAGTATCCCATAATTCAAACAAGAAAAAAAGGCAGATTCATGAAAATATCAGGGAAACATTGTCAGATATCAAATATGCTCATACATGACGGAAATTACCAGAAAACCTAGTGCACGAGGCTCCTGCCAATATGAGGTCTAGGTGAGCTCAATGTATGCAGCCTTAGAAGTTATTTCCAAGACATGAAGAAAATTATGGAAACATGAAATGATTGCATCCCATATGCCACTATATCACAATAATAGTCTTCATTTCTCCAAGGCATGCCATCAACCTACAAGCCGGACCTGCAGATGATGATCCTAAATTTTTTTTAACTTAACATACATTGAAGCCTGGTGGGGGAACGAAAAGAAATAATTTCATAATGCCAAATCTCCAGATTAAAAGCACTAATTCTGCAGTGCCGCTGATGGTCCATTGCACCTAAAGTTGGGTACCCAGATAGATAACTTTTCACATAATTTCTGATGTCAAAACATTTCAACAAAAGAAACCAGAAGTATTGAAGAATAACATCAATAAGAAACTCAGACATCAAATTAAAATCGTCAAATATAAAGAACCATCAAATTATATTAGATAGGCACAGTCCCTATAGGCCATAAAAAGGAAAGAAGGAAGCATATTAAAGAAACAAAATCTGAAGGACACGAAAAAATGAAATCCCTGTTCCTTGGTCTAAAACAGTTGCAAATACATCAACCTTTATTATCAATCATTTTCATATTTTATTTTCAGCATAAATACCTAGGAAATCCTTCCAAATGGCCGATGTCTGCAAATTGATCATACAAATCAAATATTTTACAAATGATTGGACATGAAAAAAAAACTAAATGCAGGCCTTGATTTAAGTTGAAAAAATCATTCTACGTTTATCTTTACTTGAACATCTTTGACTGAAAAGAAACTGAAGTTGGCTCTGAACAAAAGATAAAGTTCAGAAAGGTTCACTTGAGCCAATCACTTTCCCTCAAAAGGAAGATTGAGCTCATCATCTGTTGAATATTAGGTCACAGGACAAACCAATCCTAAAATCCAAATAGGAGAAGAAATAAATAAAAATTATTCTTAAATTGTTGCTCTCTAAAAGTAAGGCAGTGTATTGTGCATGTAAACTGCTGTCATGCTCCAGAATAATTTTAAGTGCATTTTAATTAAAGATAACTGTAAACTCCTGAAGTCAATTTTGAAAATACTACAATATTGGTGTGGTTAGCAAATGAAAGCAAGCATAGCATGGAAGACATATGGATCCTATCCATACTAGCACCCTCTATGGCTGAAATGAAAACCTTTGGAGCTGAATCAAGTCAGAAATTCTAAAGTTTTATGGTAAGATAAATACAGAAAGGTTCATGTATGAGACTATAGTCTCCTATAGTTTAAGAAAGACATCAACATGTAGAATATTAAACAAAATATACTTGCTACCAAAATTCCAGAGGTGCTTCCTCTTAATATTATATGCAAGAAATGAACATGTCTGGGATGACATGTCATCACATACAAAGACACAAAAAGACCAATGAAATGAGGGTAGCATTCCGTCAATTATTAACTTCTTAAAAAATGTGGAATTTTATAAAGATTCAAAGAAGATACATATTTTATAGTTTATACTACAAACTTCCACTAAGAACAGGGTTGTTTGACTCTAGAAAGGTCCAACGACTGAAAAAGTATACGAAATGAGATGGTGGAAAGCAGCACAATGTTCATAAACATTGTGCTTTCAGTTAGGAAAGCACTTCCTAACTGAAGACAAATTAAGAAAAAGCGAGCAAACAAACAGAAATTGCAAGATTTCTCTAAATTGTGTAAGGCCCACAATGTTCCTAAATAAAAAGAAGTGGACAACTAAAGTACAAGCCTAGCTAAATCCAGACATGAAAGATAAGAGAAAGCCTCAAGACCATGTCAGCATTAGCTACAAGCTACCTGAGTTTTGACCTAGATTAGTTCGCCCCTGGAAAAAACACTAGCATAAAAAAAAAAAACCATTAACAGTCTAATACTCATCCCTAGTCATTTGTCTAACTGAGCAGAATCAGAATCTTAGACTGAGTTGTTGTTATTGGAAACTAGAAGTGTTTGACAAATGGATCAATAAAACAAATAAATTAGACTTTATAATAAGGACAACATAAATCTGGTAATTAAGAAACAACTATGTCAACAATCACCAATTAAATTACAAAATAATAAAAGGAACAATAGCTTGACACATGCAATTACCTCTGGACTCCAAACAGCACAATGTTGATGAACCCAAATACGAGGAATGCCAAACCGATCATTAATGGGACCCAAGAGCCTACCAAGCCATCCAGGCTCATCACCAAACCCATCCCATACGTCATAGTTTGGTTCTTCCGAAGCTGAAGATCCTTCATAAGCCTCATTATCACTCCCTGATGACTCATGAACAAGTCTCTTAGGTGGCCTTCCATCAGTCCCACCCCCGCACAGCCCACACCTCCGGCCCTCCTTAACATGCTTCCTTGCAATCTTATCATCAAAAATGGGCGGCTTCGGTTTATCTTCCTTTAAGATGTCTTCACTCTTTACAGGTTTGTCATCAACATGTTCACTTAATGAGGTAGCTAAACAATTTCCAGGATCAACATCATCCAGCTGCAGATTTGGGATTGCAGTTCCTTCTTCGGACTGCTCGAGATCTTCTTTATCAGCCACATTTGTACGGTCTGCATTTTCTTTACCCTCCTCGGATGGTAAAGGAGCTACAATTTCCTGGTTTGGTTCACTAAATACTGGCGAATCTGTGACAATTTTAGGTTCCTCTCCATGAGAGGCTTTGTCACGACTATCTTCATGATCATTTGAAGACAAAACCTCACCTTGATATCCAGTTTCTTCAGCGATCACACTGACTTCGTCGCCAAAACCCCTTCTTCTGCCCCTCCTACTGGATCGAATTGCCTGTGAACTAAGTACACTCCCACTTGTCACTGGCTTCGCTGACTCCTTTTCTTTCCTCATAGCGACCTCTTCAAAAGAGCGTGATTTTCCCTTTCTTTTTCCAACCCTAGATCGCAGTCGTGATCTCCAATCTTCTGCTTCCTCTTCCGACATTTTAATTTCTTGAGTAGGAGAACCATCTTTTTCCTGCAACGAAACCGGATTTCCCTCTTCTAGATCATCTCCATCATCCCTTCTCTTCCGCCTCTTCTTCTTCCTCCTGCGACCACCACCAACACCAGAGCCGGACCGTATTGGGGAATCCCGGAGCCTACGCTTCTTCCTCCGGCGCGCGGGGGCAGGGGACGAGTCGAGGAAGGCCGGGGCCCGGCGGACGCGGGAGCTGCGGCGGATGAGGGCGCGGTCGTCGCCGGGCGATTGCGGACCCGCGGGGGTAGCAGGGCCAGGAGCGTCGCAAATTGAGTCCAGCCTCTTCTGCTTCTTCTTGGCGCGGGATCCCTTCGACCGGCCCCTCCGCCGTTTACCCCCGCGGATCAGCGAAGAGCCCGGTGCGGCCGCGTGCTGAGACAACGGCATCGACAGAAGAGCTGCGCGAGGCAGAGAGAAAACGGAGAGATTAGCTTTCTATTGCCGCAGCGAAAACGACGAGGAAGGAGACGACGAGGGTTTCCTTGTGCTCCAGTGGGTCGCTCGCCGCATAAAGCTTCGAGGAAGGAAATGCGATTAGACCCGAGTGCTCTGAAACAGAAAACATAAATTCATTAACACTTATTTTTTATTCTTGTTTCTAAAAACACTTTTTGGTAGTGGTGACAAATGTTAGGATAAATTTATACTGATTCCAAAAATTTCGGATCTCCCAAAAAAATAATAAACAATGAATTATATAAAACAAAGCTGCCAATTTTATCTGCTTAGTGGTGTTGACAAATAAAACAAAAAATATACAGCGGATATATACATATATCTCTTTAAATTAAGTGATTCTAATCTCTTTAAATTTAAGGTCACCACATATATATATGGTTGATCTCCGGAAATTGATTTTAGATTTATATTATAATAGTAATATTTCGAGAATTATCTCATTTATATTTTAATAGTGATGATCATAATTACTAATGATTAACTTTAGTTTTGTTTTATGAATGTTAACGAGATGGATACTTTTGGTGGCCGATAGTAATTGGAGGAACATATATATTATATTATAACTAAACACCAACAACAAAAAAATTCATCTGAGTTCGAGATAAAAAATGATAATAATATATTCAAAATAACTATATTTTATAAAAAAAATATTTTTAATTCACCATATTTCATCAGATTAAAAAAAAACAGCTTCAATAAAATTTCCTTCTTCAACAAAAATCCATTTCACAATATTGTGTGTTATAGGTGTTCATTGATATACTCTCAAGGACGATATTGTAACTTCATTTTTTATGAAATCGATATTCTGAAATCCTATCCTATCTTGAGAATTATATGACAATCATAATTTTTTATTTATTTATTTAATAATTCAATAATCACATAAAATTAATGAGTCTTTATGTAAACTCGCTTATTCGCTTAAAACCATAAAAGATTAAAAGATAACTCATCATATAACTTGAGCAATGAATGTTCACTCAAATCTTTTGTTATGATATTTTATTTATATTAAAGTTAAATTTGATAACTAAACATGTTGTATGGGTCATCCCATATCTAAGTATGTAATTTATCCCACATGAATATCAAATTAGGAAATTTTATAAAAGATTTCGACACCCAATGTATAATAAGACTTCTATAATACTGAAAGTTGATCCTATATAATTAGAAGGACTCTAATTATATACGATAAAAGATAATTTGAATTGAAACTAATACAGAGTATCAGGATTAGGTTACCAGGGATTCAATAATGATATGATTGATAATATGAGTGATGATATATTATCGTCTAAGCACTAACATGGTGTCAACATGAGGTAAATCATCAACATGTCAACTTATCTATATTGGTCATATATCGAATTCATTTATTTAAATATCAAAAATTTAAATTTTTAATCAATATATTTTAGAATATACCGAGTAACTTAATTAGTAAAGATATTATTAGTCCTTTATTCATCATTTATCATTTGATAAGTATTGTTAAATAAATACTATTTTAACGGAAAGAACAATATCATTCACACGTATATGAACCATGGTATGCAATTTTGAAAAGTACCGCCCGATACGGGGGGTACGTATTGATTCGACAACATACCGATATGTGGACCGTCCACTATCGGACGGACCATGCTACAGTGCTACAGTAATACATTGTACCACTGTTACAATGCTACAGTAAAAAGAAGTACACCCTGGTGTATCACTCGGTATGTCAGTACTATACTATATCAAACCAATTTCGAAATATCAATACGATACGATATTGCATCTCTTAATACAAACACTCTACTAGTCAAATATTGGAACCAGAAACTAACCTATTTTTAGACGCAAGATAACGGTTTTTTTTATGGGTGATAAACCTAAAAGAAAATGAATATTTAACACTCCAATCATTGCTCTATCCAAAGAAAGACTGAATAACTGGTTTTAGGGTTTTAATTTTAATTACAAATGTTCACAGACTAAAAAACAATATTTGGTGCTGTATACAATAATGATCCATTTTTTTATAAATACAAGGATCGAAATGGAAAAAAGGCAATTCAAATAATAGCATGAATGGGTTTGCTGTTGGAAATCACAGATAATGCATGAAATCAGCAGTGACATCCACAGCTCATTGTCCTACCGTCGTTACCGTGCGACAGATAGCGCCGAGAGGAATGACGCCACGTCGCATGAGACGTGGTTGTCGCTCGACCGCAGGCTATATCCGTGGGCCCCGCACCAGTTAGGCTCACGCCTGACGTCACGAGCATCGCGTAGGCGGGGCTGACGCCAGGCCACCGTCATCCACGATCCGCAATGACACGTGTGCGACTCGCGTCAGGGAGAACCCAAGCCCGTGATGAACGAGCAGGAGAAACAGAGCGCGCCTCCCTAACTGCCGACGACTTGTGGGAAGAAGAAGCTTCTCCTGACGTCATCGCCCCCTCCACTATATAACCGTATCCGCCTCCCTTCTCTGATTTCTGTGTACTTTCTCTCAAATTCTCTCCTTAATTTGCCCCAGGTTAGGATGCGGAAAGCGACCCGGTGCCGATCGGCGCGGACGCGATTCCCCTCGCCGGCGAGCAACAGGGACCGTGCGGCCGTCGGCGGCGGACAGGACGGCTTGCTCACACCCTCCTCTTCCCGGTCTTCGTCGTCGTCGTCCACCTCCTCCCCCTTTCTCGGTGGTGAAGGCGACGGGGCAATGAAGCAGATGGTGGCGGAGAACCCGGTGGTGGTGGTGGCGCAGAGGGGGTGCTGCATATGCCACGCGGCGAGGCGCCTCTTGCTGGGGCTCGGGGTCAACCCTGCGGTGTGCGAGGTCGGCGAGGAGGCCGCGGCCGCGGGGGAGGCGACGGCTCTGGTCGAGGCTGCGGCCGAGATCGAGGCCCTCGGGGGGCATCGCCGGCCGCCGGCGATGCTCCCGGTGGTGTTCGTCGGGGGCAGGTTGCTGGGGGGCCTGGATCGCCTCGTCGCCGTCCACATCACCGGCGAGCTCGTCCCCATCTTGAAAGAAGCCGGTGCTCTCTGGCTCTAATTTCTTTTTCTCTTATATATATATATATATTTATATATAAATATAATTTCGTTGCATCAAAAATGAAGATCTACATATTTGAAATTTCATGGTCCCTTCGATTGGTTTTACAAGTAATCATGCTCGTATATAAACTGTTTTAACAACACAGTATGATGGCATTCCGTTATTGCATATATCTTCCGTTCTCACGGCCTCGAAATCAATTCGGCTACTGAACTTTCAAATTGAGATCTTGAAATTAACAGAATTACAATTTCAGGGGAAGGTGAGACTTGATCTCACCAGCTTTCATTGGCCGCACTCGATCAAATCGAAGGCAACACCTCACCTACTTCCATTGGCTTTGTGAGTGGGACTTTGACCAAACCAGAAAGCATGCTCACGTCATGATGATAAGTTTGAGAATCTATCAACTTTCCTATGCTATTGGATGATTCACTTATTTACATTTTTTTCGTCATGATGGTATGATTTATTCTCATTCGATCGCATCATTAAGCTTGACTTTTTTTTTTTAGCACCAATTCAACTTAAGATTTAAGTTTATAGGTTATGGGTCAAATAATAATATAAATTAAAGCTTTTATTCATTAGTGATATTAGATTATCCTCTCAGTCCATATCTTTTCATCTTATACACATTAACAATCATAAAGATTACCGCCCCACATCTGAAAGGTCATATTCCCTGCCCAAATCAATCCAACACAGATACACTGCATGACAAAGACATTCCTTTTCTAAAGGGAGATTTAGATTTGTCTGGGAGCATCCTTTATATTATGGATTCTAATTTTGCAGCCTTTTGTGGACATTTGACAGGTCCGAGGACTGCTAACTTTGGACCTCACTAGCCCATATTTATCCCCCAAAAAACAAATATGGTTTTCTTTTTGCAAAGAAAATATATCTATATTAATTATGAATCAGTCTACAATATTTTTAATGTATAATCAATTATTCCTTTGCAGTAGAATACAGAGCCATCTAATCCCAAGCATTTACTATTTAATTTTAATAAAACTGGAGAAAAAGCTAATTGTAACAACAACTTTGTGACATACAACTCTTAAGATGTCTCTTCTTATTAAAATTAGTGACTAATGCAATCTTAATCGTATTGTATTGATATGTTAGATAAGATCTAGACGACACAAATATACTAAGCATCCAAATTTTAAGCTCTTAGAGATAAATATTTTGATAAATCATCGCAAGATTATAAAGTTATATTTTATCTTCATCATTTATCTTTTTATATAAAAAAATATAAAATTATTGTAAATAGTAATGTTAAAAAAATATATTCCTACCTATAAAAAGTAGCACACGTTGAATTATTAGTAATTTAAAAATCATGTACTCTTAGACTCACATTAAATTTTTGCAGGACATAATAATATCCCAAGCAATCAAGTGCATTAACATAAACATCATTTAGTGATCTAATTAGGAATTAGAAACCGATGGCTCTTGGTTGCCAACCATGTCTATCTCTCGTCTTTTGGCTATTTTCTCTTGTACTTTGTTTTTTTGTTTTAAGCTTGATCCGAGAAAAAGATTCCCTACTCATTCCAGACCTTGTACGATTGAAGAGCTAGAACTTGATTAAACGAGGGGCCGATCTCTCAAAGCATGATTGCCACTGGATTAAGAGCTTCATTATCAATTATCACTTTGGTAATCACTGTTTCAATAGGTTTTTCCTATTCTGTAATATTATTGGTGACACAAATGATTTGTGTCCTGTTGACGCACTTGAGGGGGCCAATTTGATGCAGAATGTTCGTGCAGAACAAAAAATATTTTCATCCTCAAGTCTTGAATGTAATAGCCTCGATTTGTGGACTTGCATTAGGAAGATACATGATCAAGGATTGGGAATGACATATTGTACTTGGCGTCGATGGTAGCAAAGCTATGCGGATGATGGGAGGGCTCAAATAAGCCCAACTCCACACCCTACATCATATTAGAGTTTATTTAGACTCCCTTCAACTCATTAACTCAATCAACAACACCATTTGGGAGATATGTATGTACAATCATACTAGACATTCAACCAGTTGCATCCTAGCTCAATAATTTTTTTCTTTTACATATTTGGATAGATATCTTAATCTTACAAATCATGAGCCACCAATTTTGATGATTATTATATTTCACATAGTGATGACTAATTTAATATAATATTTTTATTTTAAAAAATAAAAAATATTCCTTTACCTGTTAAAACACACTACATATATAGTTGTCGGTAACTGCTGCATAGGGTAAAAAAGTAGTATATTTTCCCTTTCTTTTTGGGTGATCAAGTTATTATGCTGCATTTTTCTTATGTCAATTCAATTTCTTGTTATCGATCATATATATATATATATTTAATTTCAACTGTCACAATTCTTTAGTGTTGATGGAATCATGGAATATATTAATACATTTAATAAAAAAATAAACCGAAGGAAACCTGTCATTTAGCTTAAAGCAACGCCAATTTTCGCAAACAACCTTATTGAACTATGTTTCCCCGCTGCAAGGACTTCACCCGCCGCTTCCACGCGGCCGTTGCCGCCTCCAACCCACCCTCCGTCTTGAACCCAACCAAGCGTCGCCGGACTACCAAGCGTCGCCGGACTACCAAGCGCGGCAAGAACCCGCCTCCTCTGGCGTTCGACCCCGAGGTTGTGCGATGGAACAAGGCCATCACCGCCCACATGCGCCACGGCCGAATGGCCGCCGCCGCCGCCATCTTCCGCTTCATGCCCCGATGCAACACTGTCTCATGGAACGCCATGCTCTCCGGATACCTCTCCAACGGCTGCTTCTCCCTCGCCCTCCGCCTGTTCGACGCCATTCCCGACCCGGGTCTTGTGTCCTTCAACACTATGATCCACGGCTATGTCCTCAACCGCGACCTTGCCTCCGCCCGCCGCCTCTTCGACCAAATGCCCGTGAAGGACACCGTCACTTGGAACACCATGATCTCCGCTTACGCCCAGAGCGGGCTCGTCGAGGAGGCTCGCGAGATCTTCGACCGCACGCCCCACAAGAATGCCATCTCTTGGAACGGCATCCTTGCTGCCTACGTGCAGAACGGACGCCTGGAGTTGGCGCGGCGGCTCTTTGACTCGAATTCTGACTGGGAGACCGTATCTTGGAATGCGATGATCGCTGGTTATGTGCAAAGGAGGAGTCTTGCCGAAGCCCTGCAGCTCTTTGATCGGATGCCGGAGAGGGACATCGTTTCGTGGAACACCTTAATCTCGGGTTATGCCCAGAATGGGGATATGTCTGTAGCAACGAGGCTTTTTGACGAATCTCCTTCTCGGGATGTCTTCACTTGGACTGCCATGGTTTCTGGGTATGCACAGAATGGGATGCTGGAAGACGCAAGGAGGGTGTTTGACGAGATGCCAGATAGGAACTCAATTTCATGGAATGCCATGATTGCAGCATACGTGCAGTGCCAGAAGATGGATCAGGCAAAGGAGCTGTTCGATGTGATGCCTTGTAGGAATGTCAACTCTTGGAACTCGATGATTACTGGGTATGCTCAGGCTGGGATGGTCGAACGGGCAAGGTGGATCTTTGATACAATGCCACAAAGGGATTCAGTCTCATGGGCTGCCATGATTGCTGGTTATTCTCACGAGGGGTCCAGTGAGGAAGCTCTGCAGCTGTTCATAGAGATGGGTAGGTATGGTGAGAGAATAAATAGGTCGTCATTTACATGTGTGTTGAGCACATGTGCTGACATTTCGATGTTGGAGTGTGGCAAACAAGTGCATGGGAGGCTTGTTAAGGCTGGATATCGAATGGGCTGCTTTGTTGGAAATGCCCTCCTTGCAATGTATTGCAAATGTGGGAGCATAGATGAGGCCTACGAGGCATTTGAGGAGATGACAGAGAAGGATGTGGTTTCATGGAACACTATGATTGCTGGTTATGCTCGACATGGGTATGGAAAGGAGGCATTAAAAGTCTTCAATTTGATGAGAATGACAGATACAAGACCAGATGATGTGACCATGGTAAGTGGTTTTGTGGTTAATATACTGCAGGCTCTTTTGCACTATACCAGTAGAGTTACCTATTTTGCCTGGCTGACACGAGCCAAAACCCTAAACTAACTAGTCACTGAAAACAGGAATTAGAGATCATGAAAGGAAAGTAATGTACTTGATGATGCAAGGATGAATCATCTGATCAAATAAAAGATATTAAAATGTAGTGGACATCACCAGTAATAGTAGTATTAAATCAAACTATGATAATAGATGAAGTCAACATACAGTTACCATATAACTTTAATTGTCTTAATCTTTTTTGTCTAGGAACCACATGAGTAGTAAGCATCAACTGCTGGCTATTTGAAGATCCTTTTCCATTTCTTACTCAGTTCTTTTTTCATACTTGATATTAGCTGTAGATGACTATATTATTATTGCTACTATTATTTTTGCAGCTGTACCTATGCAGCCATCTTATTCTTTCTTTTAGTATATGTTAAACTTTCTGAATCACTAGTCGCCTTATAACAGTAGTATATCCAATATACAAATTACATTTGCCTTTTTGGAATTGTCTGATTGTAAAAGATTCATTTGTGTTGAAAATTTTTATCTTACAAAGTTTAATTTTAATGCACAATCTTCCATTTCGCTCACTAGATCTTGAGGTGCATTCTGTTGGTATGTAACTGGGCTTCTTATCAAGCACACATTTTCTGTGCTGAAATGACCTCCCTAAGTTTCATATTCTCATCCATCTTCAACTTTTCAGGTCGGAGTCTTATCTGCATGTAGTCATGCTGGATTGGTGGATAAAGGCATCGATTACTTTTATACTATGCATAGAGATTTTGGTGTAACAGCAAAGGCAGAACACTATACTTGCATGATAGATCTTCTTGGCAGAGCTGGACGTCTAGATGATGCTCAGGCTCTTATGAAGGACATGCCATTTGAACCAGATGCAACTATGTGGGGTGCATTATTGGGTGCAAGCAGGATTCATAGGAACACTGAACTGGGAGAGAAGGCAGCAAAAAGGATCTTTGAGATGGAACCTGATAATGCTGGAATGTACGTACTTCTTTCAAATATATATGCAACATCTGGTAAATGGGCTAATGTCAATAAGATGAGAGTGATGATGCGGGAAAGGGGTGTCAAAAAGGTACCTGGTTTTAGTTGGATTGAGGCAAACAATAAAGTGCATACATTTTCTGTTGGGGACATGCTGCACCCTGAGAAGGATAAGATATATGCTTTTCTTGAGGAATTGAATCTGAAAATGAAAAAGGAAGGCTATGTTTCAGCTACAGAAATGGTTTTGCATGACGTGGAAGAGGAAGAGAAAGAACACATGCTCAAATATCATAGTGAAAAGCTAGCAGTTGCATTTGGTATTTTAAATGTGCCATCCGGAAGGCCAATTCGAGTAATCAAGAACCTTAGAGTATGTGAAGACTGTCACAATGCTGTTAAGTTCATATCTGTGATCGAGAATAGATTGATCATTTTGCGAGATTCTAACCGTTTTCACCATTTTAGTGGTGGCTCATGTTCATGTGGGGATTACTGGTGACATGTATAAGGTGTTTCAATGAAGACTAGAGTATTTTTGCTGGTGTTTCAACATATAAGGTGTTTCAAGAGAAAACTGTAAGAAAGTTCCTGGCTGTACATGAAAACTAGAAAATTTTCACTGGCAGGTGTTTCAATAAGCTGGAAAGACGAGTTTAACATGGACAAGTTGTTTGAAAAGGAAGGCTAAATTGCAGCATGTATAAGGGGAATAACCAGGTTTGTTACAAATTTATGTGCCCATAAATTATGGATACAGTGCCTTTTCTTTTCAACAGTAATGGCTGTACTTTCTTCTATCGGTGGAGTATGATTGCTCATACACTGAACCAACAGAACTGAGCAGCTATTATGTGATCATCAATCTTGATATCCCAGCCGAAAGGATACCTGTCAACAGAAAAAAGTTCAACATCAACCTGTTACCAATTTTGAAGATCAAAGATAGATGAAATGATCCAGAAGGATCCTCGCACGCGAACGCCATCCAGTATATGCACGACAACTGAAGGCAACATATTATATTATACTTAGAGCTGCCCATCACACTTAAATGGGATTTCAACTACAGTTTGGTAGATCCAAGAAAAAGAGAACGGTGAGTTGAATGCATAGAACTTCTAAAGCCACACTTCATAGAGATCCATCAGTGTAATAGTATTGTTGAATAATCATCAATACAAGAAATCAATGTGGAAGGATACCAGCAAGTAGGTAGTTCTTCTTTCTTCTAGATTTGGAATCCAATCCAGTGAAACATGTAAAATTTATATGCAATCTTGTGATACAGAATACATCATCTTGGATAGTTAATTATTTCTTTCATCTATAATTGTTATTTCACTTTTGTGAAACCTATAGAATTGCTTTGTAACTTTGTGAAACAGAATACATCACCTCGGAAAGATTGTTCTTTTTTTCGTCTAGAATTGCTATTAACTTTTGTGGAAACATGTAGCATTGCATAGGTCTTTCTTTCATCCTCGACATTGTGGTGATCCTGATCTCAACCGAGGTCTTTTTTCATATCAAGGAGGAGCTACTAAGAGAGCCACACTAGACGGGATAAAATAAAAAACTATAGATTTCATTGAGACCATAAGCATGATACCAAATATTGTTATGATCTTAAAGTGCAAATCAAGGGTGAGGTCACCTTAACAAGTAATTTTGCGACAGATAAAGTAGGAGCTATCCCTATGTCTTGAGGGGTCAATTAACAGGTAGATCAACTTAATCATCGGTAGTCCCATGTTGGAACAAACGATTCATCTATTAGAAAAGGAGTAATCAAAGGAGTAATGATGATGATGATGCATCGGTCATCTCTATTTAGATCCTTAATGAACTTATCAAAGGAGTAATGATTGATATAGGTAGTTCCATCGATATACCCATTTTTTTTTTATGTCTATCAAAAAATGGGTTTTGACATCTTCTACTTTGACTAATATCATGGGTGACTCTATCTCCTTGGGATGACTAACTAACTTATATGTGATATTTGGCTTGTCTCGTTAAAAAAATATCAAATTAAAATTTTTGATGGTTAATATATTTTCGGCCTACATAGCCATTACAAGAAGGTCGAATCTGATCATACTCCAAACTATAGTCTCAACTTATTGTATATTGATGAAGTTATATACTAGACCTAAAGTTGAAGAGCAACTCAAGAGAGTTTTAGTGGTGCTACTTAACCTCTACCTCTCTTCGAGAAGGTTAGCCTTATTCAACAATTGGATCTCAAGACGAATCCTAACTACACTCCTTGTATATTGAGGTAAATAAGTTGGCCGAGATCATGCTTGACTAGAATCAACCTGGCTGTCCGATAAAGATTGATTTGGTGCTACAATAAAGGCCGAGCTTATCAACTTCGTGTGGATGTATTTTCAAATTTTCGTATAGTCACTTGGAGATATGATAGGGATTGACTTGATACATTAGAAAACATAAGTTTACACTAGATCGATAAAGAGCAATGGAGGAGATAGATAAGTTGTTAGAGGCATGGTTCAAACGGTGGAGTTTAATATCCAAAATGACTTGCATGCATTACAATAGTTAAAAAAATATAATGAAAAATAGAGAATGTACTTTGGTTAAGGACTCTCTTACCTCGTATGAACTCTTGACCCTTAGGAATACTTTCTTTGGGTATAAGGAAATCAAAATATCCCAAATCGATGAACTCCAACAATATCAAAAGATCCTCTCGGATGATGGATAAAATATTCAAGATACAAATCATACATGATATGAAAGCTTGTCTGATGATAAAATATAAGGTAACCGACTCTCATATGATCGACTTAATCAAACCTTCAAATCTATAAGACAATTTTTGATGCTTTTAAACCGTATAGAGTATGCATTTATGAAAAAATAACTCGATTTTGTCATTTATTAGAGAATCGAATCAAACCATTCAGAAAATGAAACGACTGATAAAGGAAGCTTTAAAGGTAAACCGAAAGAATCACAACATTGCTCCGTTCTAATGGGCTGTGTCCTACTTAACTCATCCGAAGATCCGGATCCGCTATTGGATGTCAATCGGGTCCTATCGCACCCGAATTCGACCTGACTCATTGCCCAAACTTGATTCTGGTAAAGACCGGTCCGGATCCGCTGTTGGATTAAGATCCAGCCGTCATAAACCAATGGATCGCGAATCCCAAATCCTAAAGCGATCTAACCATCAGCACATCATCCCGAACCTTAAGACAAAAAAGCTGAGCAAAGTAGTCCTTCTTTGGTCTCCTTTCCCCTGGCGGCCGCCGTCCTGATCTGAAACCCTAGCGAAGCGGGAAAGCTGATGGGCTTCGACGTCGGCACCGTCCCCTTTAACTCCGACCGTTGGGGTCCACCGGAGACGCCCGCCTCCCCTCTCCTCAGCAAGCACGAGGGCGCCGCTCACCCGGCCAACATTCCCTTCGCCCCCTTCTCCCGATCCGAGAAGCTCGGCCGCGTTGCGGACTGGACCCGCAGCTACAACTTTGCCGCCAATCCTTCCCGATCTGCCGGCGGCGGCCGCGACGCCGTCTTCGACTTCGCTCTCGACGAGTCCTCCGCCCTCGCCGGCGCGGCCACCGATGACTCGTGCTTCCGCCTCGTTGACGGTAAGCCCCCTCCTCGCCCCAAGTTCGGCCCTCGCTGGCGCTTCCAGCAGCGCCCGCAGCTGCCGCAGCGCCGCGACGAGGAGGTTGAGGCTCGGAAGCGCGAGGCCGAGAAGGAGCGCGCCCGCCGCGATCGCCTCTATCACCTCAACCATCGCTTCTCCTCGTCCGCCGGCGGTCACGGTCCTCGCCGGGACACCCCCGCCCCCAAGTCCTCCGTCGACATCCAGCCCGAGTGGACCATGCTGGACCAGATCCCCTTCTCCACCTTCTCTAAGCTCTCCTTTTCCGTCCCCGATCCGCCCGAGGACCTCCTCGTCTGTGGCGCCCTCGAGTTCTACGACCGCTCCTTCGACCGCGTCAATCCCAAGAACGAGCGCCGCCTTGAGCGCTTCAAGTCCCGCAACTTCTTCAAGGTCACAACCACCGACGACCCCGTCATCCGCCGTCTCGCCGCTGATGACAAGGCCACCGTCTTCGCCACCGACGTCATCCTCTCTGCTCTCATGTGCTCCCCGCGGTCCGTGTCATCCTGGGACATTGTCATCCAGCGCGTCGGCAACAAGCTCTTCTTTGACAAGCGCGAGGGGTCTCAACTAGACCTGCTCTCCGTCAACGAGACCTCGCAGGAGGCACTCCCCGATGCCAAGGAGGACATTAACTCTGCCTACTCCCTCGCCATTGAGGCCACTTACGTCAACCAGAACTTCTCGCAGCAGGTCCTTGTGCGTGATGGCAACAAGGTTACGTTTGATGAACCTAACCCCTTTGCTACTGAAGGCGAGGAGGTCGCCTCTGTTGCATACCGGTACCGCCGCTGGAAGCTCGATGAGGATACTCACCTCGTCGCACGCTGTGAGGTGCACAGTGTGACTGACGTCAAGGGGCAACGAGCCTTCATGACCCTGAACGCTCTCAATGAGTTTGATCCGAAGTACACGGGGGTAGACTGGAGGCAGAAACTTGAGACACAGAGGGGAGCAGTTCTCGCCACCGAGCTCAAGAACAACACCAACAAGCTAGCCAAGTGGACCGCTCAAGCCCTCCTTGCAGGCGCTGACCTGATGAAACTGGGTTATGTCTCTAGAGTCCATCCCCGGGACCACTTTAACCATGTTATCTTGAGTGTGATCGGCTACAAGCCAAGGGATTTTGCCGCTCAGATCAACCTCAATACGTCGAACATGTGGGGGATTGTAAAATCGATCGTAGACCTTTGCATGAAGCTAAATGAAGGGAAATATGTGCTTGTGAAGGACCCTGTCAAGCCGCAGGTAAGGATCTATGAGGTGCCGGCCGATGCATTTGAGAATGAGTATGTGGAGGAGCCACTGCCAGAGGAGGAGCAGGTGCAGCCGCCTGCAGAGGAAGATGCCACCGGCAATGCTATGGATGCAGCAGCAGAAGCAGAGGCCAATTCTGCTGCTGGAGCAGCAGAGGAGGAGAAGGATGTTAGCGCTTCCACTGTCTGAAGGTTACTCGTGTTCTTCATTAATATTTTTGATCTTTACTAGCAACAACATCTTCATGAGGACTAAGCTGTGCCATCTGAAGTTTTGAACTTGTGGGATTATTTTCTTTTTGTTATGCTTGAATAGTGGGTTGAGTCTTCTAAGACTGGCTTTAGCTTCTCACTGTGAGGGTAGTGCTTGGTCAAAATGCTAGCTTGCTTCATTTTTGGCAGGACATTTGCTGATATGTTTAGCTTATGTTATGTTCTGTTATTCAATATGCATGCCTTCAGTGTCTAACTGATGAGGTAGCCTGAATATTGTAAATTGATGGGCTTATTATTTTTATATACATACACATCTGACAATTTTCTGCAAGATTTATCTTTTCTTAAAAGTTATGAAGATGTATGAATACAGTAAAACACATAGTTTGAGGCTTGATTTCACTTGTGAGGCATTGCTATTCTACCAACTGATTGGAAGATTTTTTATAATTTGTTAGAAATCTTGGTATCTATGCTGGTATTATATTTGGCAATTGCTTTTCTTTTTGGAGGTCATGCTGTAGGCTGATGTTGAGCCACGATTTTCCTTTACTATTTTCAGATACTTCTTCAGAACTTCCATTATGACTGTTTCCTTTGTTGATATAAAGAACAGCTGAATTCACCTCTTGCTATTTGAGTTTTTTAAGCAATTGAACTAAAATCCTTTGATAGAACCGTATGTTTTAGGAAAGAAAAGTAGTGTATTTTTTTTTTCTCATCTTTATCCTTGTGGTTTAACATACCTAGATAAGGTCACTCAGGATTCTTTATTGCCATTTTGAAGAAGGGTTGTGTGATCTAGCTAGATTCCCTCCTGATGGGATGCATTTCATAATCCCATTGTCTAAACTATTAAACTATAGTGAACTAAACCAACATATGTTGTTTGGCTTGGTGAGATGGTAAGAAAAACAGTTTGGTTTGCTAAAATAGTTAGGACCTAAAATAATTCGATTTCTTTTTTCTTTTTCCCTCAACCACTGCAACCATTACAAGCTATATAAATTTATTCTTTCAATTTTTTTCCGCTTACCCTAAAGACCTTGTCTACAAACATCTGTTGAGCCCATTATTTTGTTCATTGTCAACAATGTTCTCATTTCTTCATGAGCCTTCAATGATGAGATCAGAAATTTCATAAAAAATACATATCAGATGAGTGCATGTTTGAAGTTACATAAATGAGTGTGTAAACCAATATTAGCAACTAGACCATTCCACAATATTATGGTTCATTTTTCTTGATACAAAGGCTAGACTTGGTTTGGGAATTCTCAAATCAGAATTTGCTCATTTAGTCTGCAAACCAAACTGGACCTTGCACAGCCCCACTGCCTGGTATGTTATTTGGTTTCTGAATCTTTGTGTCTTTATTCCATTCCTATACCTTATTCCCCTATCTTTATTGGTGGGGATTGTCTGGGAGGATCAACATAAACGGAATCACTAAGCAGCAACCTGATACCCTATGTCATGATTAGTGGTTGGTTTCCACATCATTGCATGTAGTTGGAAACAAGCTTTTATAGTTGCTCATGTTATCTTAGTCAGGTTTAATACATGTATTTGATGTTTAAAAGATTCTATATGGAGATACAGGTTTCTTGTGTAATCATTTACAAGGTAACATTAAAACATTGTACTATCTTCTCATCTTAGAGTTCATGAGGCATAGCTCTTGTTCCAAATGTTGTAGGTTGTAGGTATGGAGACTGGTCTGAGATTTTAATCCTTAATTTAGATCTTTGCATCCCTTTATATGATACTCTGATCCTGCATCATCTGTTAGGAAATGAATAGCAAATCACGTTTTGCATTTGAACAATGGACGGTGTTCAAAGCATCTCTGATCATCCATCTGGGACCCGTCGAATTTTTGTCCCTTGACATGACAGTAGTTGGAAAACGAGATAGATCGGATCAATTCATTATGTTGATGATAGACGATCAAAATTGATCATATCAGTACAATATTTGTGATTTTTATTTACTCGAGTCAGAATTCAATAACTACCTAAATAGTTAAATCGGTGTATAAATCTAACTTGTCTCCCTATTTTTCTACGCGTATCCTTCCCAAATCTGATCGATCACTAGTATTCTAATCCAAATTAAGCAGTCCAAGTATGACCGAAAAAACCTCTATCAATTTATCAGAAACCTATCGATTGATTATTTAGGTTGTAAACCAATTCTAAACCCAACGCTCATATTTTTCACTTATCCTAAAACTGGTTAATTATATATTATTTTAAGTAGTTAGCTAATCTTAACATCTTGATCCTTACCGTTTAAAAAGTTACATTAGTTTTCTTATAATTACGAAAATAAAACATATGTGTTTATTTATCTTAATATTATTGATTTTATCAACGAAAACATAAAAATAAAATTTATAAAAGTAATTTTAATATTTTAGTTAGTGGTGATGAATGACATCGGTGGTGACAGACGATGGCATCGTTAAGAGCTCGATAATCGCTCGTCTACCAGCCTTCCAAAGCTTCACTTCTCGATCAACGTCAATTGCGAGGAATAAAACTCCTCTGACGAGCTTCTCATCTCCTTTTTTTTATGCTCATGTCGGAACAAACGCAGTAGTGAGGAGAGCGATAGGAGCTCCAGCAACCCTAGCTTCGGGTCGAGTGATCTACCCAATGGGTCAGCGACGAGGTGGCCACCATCTTTGTCGTAGATGATGCGGTGGCTACCACATCTACGCCGACGCCAACATAGTTGTTGAGTGGCGAAAGACTGTTTGGCATTTGCAACAGCGTCGATACAAATGCAGAGCGATGCCGCTCTGCATTTGCATTGGTGTCTATGTAGTCGACATTTGCACAGTTGCCAAACGGCAAAAGGGCCGCTCAATAACTACATCAACGTCAATGTAGATGGTGGTGGCCATCGCGACGTCTACGTCAAAGATGATGTCGTTGACCCGTTGGGTGGATCGCTCGACCCAAAGCTAGGGACACTGGAGCTCCTACCACTCCCCTCGCTCCTGCGTAAGTTTTGACATGGGCAATAAAAAGGGGAGATGAGGGGTTTATCGAAGGAGGAGTTCTATTTATCGCGATTATCATCGATCGAGAAGGGAAGCTCTAGAAGGTTGGCGTGTGAGTGGTTGTTGAGCCCTCGACACGTCATCATCCATCACCACCAATTAAAATATTAAAATTATTTTTATTATTATTTATTTTTATATTTTCATCGGTAAAACTGACAATGTCAAGGTAAATAGATCTAGATGTTTCACTTTCATATCTACAGAGATGTCAATATAACTTTTTAAAATATAAAAATTAAAATACTAAAAATAATTAATTAAAAGGGTTAATATATAATTAGCCCTCCTAAATCTGATTAATGAGTATCTAGTTCAACCTAAGTAGGTGAGACGATTATGAATATCCATCCAATAAAGTCGAGGAAAATATTCTAGTTCAATATTTGAATTGAATAAACTTAAGAAAAAGAATATGTCCCAAAAAAATAAAAAATAAAAAGAACATCTTGGCTACATCAGACATTCCCATCATCACTGATTTGCTTATAGTTGACGTTTTGACCAACCCATACAGCCAACCACTTCTCTTATTCCTAAATTGTCACTTCCCACCAACCAGAGACTTTGATTGCTCCCAAACCATGGCATTGCAACCACCTTTTCTTTTACTTCACTCCACAACATGTTCTAAGTATCTAATGGCATTTAATCATTTAATACAAGAAAAAAATTGACGTTATTTAATGACAGAAAAAAAATATTTTCACATTGTTGTCGTCGTCACTGTAACGTGCCTTGAGAGCTCGCCTGTCTCTGGAAGTCAGGGAACACAAAGTTAGAGTTGCACACGCACCGTTTGCTGATGTGATGGGTTGAGATTCGGACGTCAGACATGCGGGCTCTGTGAGAGGGAGAACCGTGTTCCATGGCTCGCCGGTGACAGGTGATCTTGAGCTTACGTTGACCATGTCAACTTGTCTAATATAATAATTCCTTTATCTTCTTTAATAATTATTATCACATTATGTAATATGATATCTCATTTTGGCTAAATAAAATAGGCAAGCAATAAATAGAAGAAGCAGAGCTATGCGGATGCCAGATCGACCGTAGAAGTCATGAGGACGAGCAAATCGAACGGACGAGTCTCGTCTACCGCTCACCATTCTTTCCTCTGCAATTATATTATCTCCCGCTGCATTTTTTTGGGGGTTTTCCTATTGAAAAATGATTTTAAATGAACAAAATTCGACGGAGAAAATAGAAATGGAGGGATGCATCGCCCTATGAAGGCGACTACTCTCCGACTCAAGCCATTATAACCCCGCTCTCTCCGGACTTCCTCGTCGGTTGCTTCAGATCCGTCCTAGCGCCGGGGCTTGAATCCTTTGGATTCCGCCCGTGTTGATGAAGATCCACCTGCTATCCCTCTGATCCGGAGAAGAAGGGTGAGATCTCGCGTTCGATTTCCTTCTTCCGGTCTTGATGTTGGATCTGCTTGGTGCTTGATTCAATCGCTTCTTGCAGTTTCCTTTTTGTGGCGCTCAATTCTATAGGAAGATGGCGGTGTCTAGTCCAGTGACCCCCGGTCAGGTACGCGGAACCTTTGCGCTTTTTGGTTTAGTTCTTGGGTTACCCTGACGCATTCAATTGTTCTTGTTTCCTCCATTTCTTGTATGCCTATTTCTGAATGACATGGTATTTATGTCTTTTATCATGTGTTCTGTTGCAGGTGTCATTCTTGCTTGGCCTTTTTCCTGTTATTATTGCGTGGTTATATTCAGAAATTCTGGAATACCGGAAGTCTTCCTCTCCGATGAAAGTGTAAGATATCTAATCCGAAACATACAATATGATTAAACTTTTTTCGCCCTCAAAGAATGTGCATTTGTAATTGTACTAGAAAATAATGGGCATAATTACGTAATGTCTTATGGAATTGAAGCATTCTTTATTAGGAATTCCTGCAAAATCAATTTTATTATAAAGGATACGAAAAGCCTTATATGCAATTGCAACAATAAAAGGTAGGAACTTTTGACCTTTTTGTTTACTTGGTTGTGGAAGAAGAATTTTACTTTCTGGTTAATCACTAAAACCTTCATTGTAAATTGAAATACTTCCCCGAGTGTGTCCTGAAGTTCCTCTGCCAAACTGCAGTAATTTATAGATCATGATGCTTGAAAGTGTTTCAGCTTATGAAATGCATTTAGTAGTTTCTCACAGTTAAGAACATGGTTTATGACAACTAGTGCAGGAACAC